AATCGTCAGATCTAACACCAAAAGCCATGGATTTCAAATAGCGAAAACGAGTCGATAACATAACCATACAAAACAAAACTTACAGATCTAACGAAGAAAGAGCAACAATGAGTGGATCGAAGAAACCAAACCTGATATAACGAAGTAGATAGACTTCTCGATTCAAGATCTGGAGGAGAAAAATGAAAGCGAGAGAGAAGAAAGAGAAGAGATTTTATATTGAGAACGAGTGAGAAAAACTCGGCGCGTGACTCGGAGTTCGACTCGTTCTGTGTTTGTTTGCCCGCTCTTCTCTCGTGCCTTCACCTCTCTTCGGTTTATATTGTTGGAGATGCTGTGATCAAGTGTTTTGCGGTGTACAGTATTGTGCCGTTTTTACACCGTTGATCTGGAATGAAGGGAGGAATAGACGGTGGGATATAGCTAAGTAATGTAATCTCACCAACCCCGTTGTCGTAGGTATGGGTGTGGTTGGTGAGAAGAGTACCCGACCCGACATCGACATCAAAATCATAACCCGAACCGGATCCGCCGGATAACACACACATGGAACATGGTGGCAAATCAAGGAGTGGTTTAGATAATTTTATTTAATCTGTGTTTTTTTTTTTTTCACTTTTCATAATTAGGTGTTGGTTGGTGATGGCATTTGTTTATATTTTTTTTTTGTTTTAAAAGATTAATTATATGATTTGATCAATTTTTATTTGAAGATTTTGTTTTAATTTTTTAAGTTTCAGAAAATTATTTTTTTGCCTTAAGTTTGGCTCTGTTCTGTTAGTGGAAAATATAATTACTTTTAGATTTGGTTGATCTCAAAAAATGAAAACTTATAAGCAAACTCAAATATAAGTAAGAAACCAATTTTTTACATATGAGCAGCCAATAAAAACGTTGAATTATAAATTGTATATTGTAAATTTGCAGCAAAAAGGTGTATATATAAACAATACACAAAAAAATTTCACAGTATTTTGTCTCTATATATCTTCTTTTATTAAAATTTTAAGACTTTATACTAATAGAAAAGCAAAGAAAAATGGTTGTGGTTGGAGCTGTAGAGTACAAACATATGAGAAGAGGTCAGTAAAGAATAGTCAGTAACTGAGACCGAGCTGAAGGCCGAACGCAGCATGGACGAGGAAAAGCGTCATTATCCCACTCCCGAGGATCCCGTGCACGTTCCTCAATTCAGGTTTGTCCTGCACATTTTGTGAAACAAGTTTCTTGATCCTAAAAACTACATAAATGATTAAGGTTTCACATTGCAAGATCCTGCATTGTACTTTACCTTGAACAAAGATGGTAAGATTGTTTGAATAGTCAAGAGGCCAAGACCAATGAATCCTGTAACAGCGTGCGGGCTACAGTACACAAATCCACAACTATATCAGTCACGCATTTGCAATCTCATTACTAAGTTCGAAGAGGTCTTCTTGTTACCATGAAATCAGTGTTTTGTTTGTTCAAGTTTGAAATCAGTAAATAAGAGTCTACTATGTAAGAAAAAGATACCTTTCGAAGATGGGTTTATCGGAGGTAAGAAGGGATGTGATACCACCAGTTGCTCCAAGGGCGAAAAAGAAAAACATTCCAGCTAGAAGCTTTGGGTGCAGGTCTTTTGCCTTTGCCTTCTCTTCCTGACATTTCAAGGGCAAACGACGCTCTTTAAACAAAAACAGTCCTTATAATATAGTAACCAGAATATTTGGTTAAATAGGCTTACAATGTCATCTGAAAAACGAATCCGGAAGCCTAAGTATGTTCCATAGCCACCCATAGCAAAAAGAACTACTGCCTGAGAGAAAACAGGTGACAAATCCAAACTATCACACACACAAGACATATGTCTAAAGAAACTATTTCTGACAGACATGGTTTTGTGGAATCTTGAACATGAGTGATAAGATTAAAGAAGCATGTATTAGGTATGGAGTAGTAATAGTACCATGTTTCCTGGATGTCCCCAATGAACAAGCCAGTCAGGTAGATTCAAGGATTTTACAATCTCCGCAAACGGTCCAATAACAGAGCTTACAGTTGCAGCTGCCACAAGAGAGACAGATATCAGCATGAATCATCTAATTTTTACAAAACCAGTGTATCTTGACACAACATTCGTGGTCACAAATCCAAATTTGATTCATACATATATCATTCACACAATTAATGAATACACAAATATCATCACTTTCTCACTAGTGTTTACTTAAAGCTCCTAAACCAACATGGTAGACATTGAACCTTAGAGCGATTAAAATTATGGAAATGTTAAAAGTTTTATACCTCCAGGGAGAGTAGCAACGAGGAGGAGAGGCAAAGGAGAGACTGATAACATCAATGTCTCTTTAATCTCATTCTCAGCTCTTGATTCAACCTCTTCACCTCGGTCACCAGTAGAAGAACACGCCGTAATCAACCGGATCTTTCTCCGAGGAGAGTTAGAGAACGCGGGAAACGGAGACAGATTAGAGAATCTGGAGAAACACCGAGTGGAATTGAGTAAACGCGACGCCGGAAGTGATGGAGGAGAAGAAATTGGGATAGAGAGCGCGGAGAATCCGGTGATTGCCGCCATTGGAGAAGAGAGAGAGCTTAGTGTGTGTGTTGTTGGTAAAGTGAAGGGGAGGGTCAGGGAAGTGGAGTGGTAGGGAAGAAGATAGTTTGAGAGAATTGTAAAGAAAAGGTGAAGAAAGAGACACGACGTTATGTTTAAACGATGTCGTTTTGCGCCCTTTTCGCGTGGACTCAACACGCTTTGATTTCCACGTGATTCTCACGTGTGTCTCTCAAAGGGAGCGTAAAATTTCAAACCTTCTGCCTTGGCTAGAGTCTTTCAACTGTTCACGCTCCGATTCACACGTGACTCTCGCGTGCCTCGTAGCTGAGCCTAATTAAATTCTGTAACCTTCTGCCTGGTTTAGAAAGCTTTCAACAGTTAGTAGTTCTTCACAAAACCTATTTCTTTCACTTGGCCAGTGGCCACTGTATACTAATACTATGATTCCACTGTAATGTATAGTTGCAGAATTGTTCACATATATAGTATATTAGGCATCGAATACTAGTATTATATAGTTTACTTGTCAATAATTCACAATAGTAAGCTGTTAACATCTTAAGGAGATTTTCAATTACACGTCTCCGTTCACAAATCACTAGGATAGGCACCTATTTTTGAGTGGAAAATTACGACATATGCAATTATTGTATTGTTATAATTATAAAAGGCCACCTTTATCAATTATTAGATTTTGAGTATTTCATAAAATATTGGTAGATAGATTTCGACCTCTCGGTATAACCATGAAGTCACTAATAAATCTTTTCTTTTCTTTTCAAGTAGGGACTCCATCTCAATATATACGTTAATTATTAGTAGTATACTAATCACTCAAAATTGTAACAATATCTATAAGATTCTTTGCAAAATATATTTGATCAAAGAGAAGTTATATTCTACATTTAGTTCATTCAAATGGGAGTAGCTATAGTCTTCGGTTAAATTAGATAATTTCACAGAAGTTGTAACTGTGTCATGTGCGGAATTTTGAATTTTTCGAATCTTACTTGTACATGTTAAGATAGTACTATTTGTTTCGTCATAATGATACAAAAACATATCATATATACATATAGGTCAAAAAAGTTATACAAATGCCAAAAGAAAATTATACTTTTACTAGGTAATTTCACATGTAGTATCTTGTAACAAAACTAGGCACAATTAATCTAGAGACCTAAAAATCTACAAAACAAACATATATAATCCACAAGTTATCATTTAAATATCTCAAATGCCAAAATATTAGAAGGAACCATACATACATTTCGTGATTGTGTAGCTATGTCTTTGGTACTATTTAAAGTGTATGCTACCAAACACATAGCTAAAGATAAAGATAATGAATGTGATATAGTTTTAAGAGTTTAACTTACTGGTTTGAAAACATGTCAAGTGTTAACTCTCTTGAATAAGAAATGAGTGTGTATACTAAGTTGTACTACTATTTTTCATTTTCGGAAACCAACTTAAATATAGTTTTGAAAAAGTGCCACACCAACTTACCAAACTTGAACTGCTGCGCCATAAACATTCAAAATTATTTTGCCATTGTATACATAAATGCATATACTATATAGTATTATTATATAGATACACACACACATATATTCTTCCCAATAAGAAAGAATATATGTGACTATGTGTGTTGTGGTGGCCTCGGGATTAATCACTTTGACAATGTCTTGTGGGAAATGACTTAGTCAAACCTTTCACTTGTTTTTTTTGGAAAATTAAGTACACATCACTTTCACCCTTTCTCTAGTTTTTTGGTTTAATGTCAACTTTTCGTTTTTATTTTTTCTTCTCTTTTTATTTTTCTTATCACTTGCTTTCCTTTTTTTATTGGTAAGTGTACGAAGAAAAAATAAACACCATAACATGTTTGACTCTTGCATGCACCATATTTTTCGTGTATAATATTTTACACAGATAGTTTTGTATTAGTATACCATATAATTATATATTTCCATGTTGGCATGGTTCTGACTTTTGGTTAATCGGTTTGATTTGGTTTAATCCAATGAACCGGTAAAAAATTTCGATGAACGGTTGGTTAGTCTCGTCAAGAGACAAACATGCACGTTCAATCGTAATGGGACATGAAAGAAAAACTTTAAACCCATTTGTTCGAATTTGTTTTCTTCCCGCAAACCATTTGTCCAAGTTCTTAAAATAAAAGAGTATTAATTGGTTCTATTTTTATTAGGTTTTTTTCTTCACGAAATTGTTTTGTTCTGTTTAATTTCTCCACTATTCACAACTTAGACCAGCTGTTCTTGTTTTGCTTTGGTGACCAAAACCACATCTATAAACTTTTATATACACTGTTTCTCTCTCTTTATCTACATACGTATTATAATAATGAAGGCAATCCACATGGGAGAAGAGAAAAAGCATAATGGCAGGAAAATAAAATAAAAATAGGTTTTTCATTGACTTGGGCGTTTCCAATACATAGAGCAATAAATAGATGTCTTTATCTTTGATAATTACAGAACCAGGGAACACTTTTTCTTTCTTCTCTTCTTCTCTTTCAAAAAACATACTAACAAAGATCCCTCAAGCAACAAAGCACATATAGAAAGAGAGAAAGAGAGAAAGAGAGAGAGATAGAGTAGAGATGGGTAGGGCTCCATGTTGTGACAAGGCAAATGTGAAGAGAGGTCCATGGTCTCCTGAAGAAGATGCAAAGCTTAAAGACTACATAGAGAAACAAGGCACTGGTGGCAACTGGATTGCTCTCCCTCACAAAGCTGGTATTTTCATATCTCTTCATGATTCTTGGCTTATTTTTTTTTAGTTTTCTTGGATTTTTAACCTTGGGCGGGTCTTGGTCTTGGCTGATTTTTTTCTTTAATAATATGATATATAAAAGGTTTAAGGAGATGTGGAAAGAGTTGCAGATTGAGATGGTTGAACTACTTGAGACCAAACATAAGACATGGAGATTTCACTGAGGAAGAAGACAATATTATCTACAGCCTCTTCGCCTCCATCGGAAGCAGGTTAAGATAGTCTCAAAATTAATTAATTATTTTCCAACATTAATAATCTTGATCATCTTGATAAGATATATATATAAAGATTGTTCTTGTTTAAATCATGGGAAAGAAATGAAGAGACTTTGCATGTTTCAAGGAAGATTCAGTCTCAATTGTTTTTTTCTTCTTTAATTAAAAAACAGTTTTTTTCATGATCTTAGCTTTTACACACCCACCTTTTGTGCAGTATAATTGCCTCCTTTTGTGGGTATATTCTTTAGTTCATAAATTAGCCAAAAAAAAAAAAGAAAGTGGAAGCAAATTCACTTTGAAAAGCTTACAAAATTATATTTATCTAGCTTATTGTGGTTACATAAAGGAGTTAATAATTACTGATAATGCAGGTGGTCAGTAATAGCAGCTCACTTGCATGGTAGGACTGATAATGACATCAAGAACTATTGGAACACTAAGCTCAAGAAGAAGCTCATTGCTACCATGGCTCCTCCTCCGCATCACCACTTAGCCATTGGTACATCAATATCACCACCACCATCGTCATCATCACATTACAACATGATCAATAGTCTTCATCCGTATAATCCATCAATATCAACAAACCAACCTCTCACACCTCATCAGGGGATGATGATGACAATGATGGGCCAACAACAACAACTATTATATCAAGAAGACATGGGTAGTTTGGTAAATTCTCCGAACAGAAACAAGCTCATAATGAGCCATCAAGAAGACAGCCATGAGCAAAGTACAAACAAGGGAATAATGTTGTTGAGTGATGTAAGAAGTGGGTCGAGTAAAACAAGTACAGTAACAAGAGTGAAGATGGAACATCGTGATCATCATCATCATCATCATGAAGAGGATGAGAGATCAATGAGCTCGGTGGTTATTGAAGATTATGGAATGGAAGAGATCAAGCAATTAATAGGTAGTAGTTGTACTAGTAGTAGCAATAGCTTGTGGTTTGATGAAAACAAGACTGAGGATAAGTTCATGTTGTACTATTGATGATCTCTCTCTTACCAACTTTGATTCAACCTCCATAATCTCTCTCCCTCTCTCTCTCTCTCTCTCAAAACTAAAAATGAATAATTAAAACTTGTTTATTAAGATGGGTTTAAACGTGATTCATGAGTTAAACTTAATGTTTTTAATTATAAATAAGAACTCTCTATATATATTTTGTTGAACCTACAGGTTATGTAAAGTTTTTAGTGATAAGAAAAAAACATTGTGACTAACAACATTTCTATGGCCAATAAGCTATCTACCATGACAAACATGTGATACAAAAATCTATCATATCATCACAATGTCACATCATTTTCTATTTTTTGCATTGTTTCTATTTTCTACTGTTTATTATTCGCAAACTATTCAAACATTAGCTTTGAATTTGGTATAACGTTCAACTCTTTATTAAACACATAGGGACCGATTTAAATTTGTTTCGATTTTCTTCAGTTTTACTTTGATATGAGTACTTGAAATTTGAACCGAATACGACGCCAAATCTTTTTGGTTTCAAAAACTATTGACATTTTCGAAACTATAAGGTCAGAAGTATAACAACTAGAATAGTAACATATTGGATGAGTTATTCAAATTATTCATGTATAAGAAAATATGTAGGTAAAATGGAGAAATTTTCTCTTAAATAAATTTGTGGGGGAAATGGAAGTAATTAAATTAAATTATAGGGAAAAACAAAACAAAATGTATATAGGTTCATGTCAACTCCATATTTATAAAGCTAAATAAACTATCAATACGTTATATTAAAATCTATTATCACACCAAAGAAAAAGAAACTCTTATAATCTGCTTTCTAGAAAAGGAGGGAAAGATCAGAGTATTTGGTATGCTACTTTTGTATTGTTCCCCTCACCCTAGCTCATTAAGGAATCTCTCAAAATCTTATCATCAATAACCACAAATTAAAACACAATAATGCATACATACTTTGTATCTTACCATTTAAACTCGAAAACTATTCCCACTTGCATGTTCTCTAAGGTATTAATGAGTTTTTCTTTCCATGCATAAGTAATCAACCAATCGTTGATCAAAAATATTTTATTTATTGTTTGTTATAATCATATATATCCACCACCACATCTATTATTATTTATGGGATTTTAATATAATACGGATGACAATTATATATCCAAAAGGACCAAAACACATTATTCTAAACATTAGTAATATTTCTCGACATCTTGAAAGTAACTACATATCATTTACACTTCCATTCGAAATTGGTCCAATCTTATCTGCCTTAATAACCTATACGAAATCTTAAGCAAATATATTAGTAGCTAGACAGAATTTGGAAATGTTTATAAATCATATTATTTCGAATATTTTAGACATTTAGCTGGTCGAATTAGCGACAAAATCAATATTTAACGCATGATCAATTAGCGACAAACGTATTATTTTACACTATAATCATGTCTTTTTAACACCGGTAAGAGAGTCGTACCAAGATTGGCCTCGACTGCATATAATTCGTACAGAATTTTATAAGTTAACTTCAACGTCAGGTTTTGTTTTCTTCTTCGACCGACGAATTAGAAAAAGAAATAAAAAAAGAATCTCCACTATTTAATAATCACACTAACACTAACATATATATTGTATTTGTTGGTACATGCATGATCATTCATTATATATGTATATGTAGTTTTGAATACTCTGCATTAAGGGAATGAGGAATTAAAGATGGATGGCGTTATGAAGTTTTGAGTGGAGAGGAACTTGACAAAAGGTACGACGACATTGCCTCTCTGTAAAAGATGCCTATCATTGGTGCTATAATCTAATAATTCATTGAAAACACTATTTACATCGACTGAATGAATAAATGACAAGATTTAATGTTTAATTTCCAATACTAAACTATTGCTAATATATATTAAATTGGGGGACAAGTGTTATGCCTACTGCCCTATTAGCTTCTATTGTTAAGAAAGTCTTAACATGACACTGACAAGTTTTGCAAAATCCTTTGTAAAGAGATTGCTACGGAAAACTCAAATTGAAGCACAAGACTATTTCTAGTATTTTGGAATTGAGAGATACAAGGAATAAAGTAAATTATAGTAAAGACAAGAACTAGAGTTTATGTAATGGTTTGAACTTTGACTTTTTGCATTGGATCAATTTCATATTTTTTTCTTTTTCAGTATAGAATATATATCTAAAGAAGGTAAGAGTTGTGACTACAGCTATATGTTGATGAATATGTTAGAGAAGCGTTTGTAACATATTCAATATTTGGATTGGGCCGGGAGGGCTCGACGAGGAATGCTATGTGTACACACAACACTACCCCTCTTCCAGAAAGCTTCCCGGGGACAACTTTAGACCGTTCATCTCGTAAAACCAATGTGTGATGATTCAAGAAAATTGATCCTGTGGATCGTGATCAGAATTGGCTCTACAGACACTTTTAGCAGCAAGAATGTCTCTCCATGAAGAGACTATATCCTATAATCTCCAAGTTATTATAAGAAAACATCCTTGAAAGCTACAAAAACCTTTTCTAGCTTTATGCATTCCTTGACAGGGTCATATAGGTCAAGCTAGTGCAAATGCAGACCCAATACACACAAATATATCTCTAACGAAAATCAAATCTAGCTAAAGAAGAAAACCGTAAAGAGGTAATTAATAGATCCCACATTATAATAGATTTTAAAATCAAAGTATAGCCTTCCTTTTTATTCAGTTGATGAAATAAATTAGGGGAATTTATAGTAAATGTAATGGTTCTGTACAATGAATGATATATAAACACTTGAGGTAGTGAGTTAGAGCCAATGTTTTGGGGAAATTGTGTGAATCACAAGAAATGCCATTGCCAATAGATTTTGTCGACGATGCCTCCACCTGTTCGAACCGCGAGGTGAAGCCTTTCTGCAGCCGGAGGAACACCCCAGAGATATGGAACTGCCACTGTCATTGTTAGTTTCTCTTGTAAACCGCTTGTGCTCTCTTTCTCAGTAGCAACAATCTTTTAACACAAAAGTAGAAGTTAATTAGAAAGAATGTTAAAAAGGAGAACAAAGAGAGCGATTTCATGGTAGTCCCAAACCTCTCCACCATGTTCTAAGACAGTGTCTTCAACAACATCACTAAGCATCTCAACAGAACGGCAGAATCCAATGATACATAGTCTTCTTCCCATATCCAGTCCCTGACATTTTTTATATACAGTGCAATGCATTATCTGTGTTTTCTAGCTTGAACAAACCGAGAAAGTTAAACGATGCGTACATTTGTAGCTGCGATATCAAATAGAGCTCCAAGACATAGACCTTGAGCAGGATCCATGTAAGCACTTTCTTGAAACTTTTGATGTTTTTCTGGTGATTTGGATTTCCCATGTTTCTTCTGTCACAAATCATATAATTCAATCACGACCAATAAAAGCACATATATGGCAGCATGATGAGGCGAGTATGTACACCTCCTAGTATAAGAAACCTTGAAATTTGGTTCTACATTGTTTAATAGTGAGAAATTCAAGGCAAGAACACCAACATGACACAAATATGTTGAATCAAAGCCAAGGAAACAAATAAAAACACATATGAAACGAAATACATACATGAGATGATAGCACGACAGGCAAAATAACAAGGCACCTCTTAGGCTAAGACACAATGACACAATCTCAATCTATACACATTTTTGAAACCGGACCTGACTAGTTTTGAACTTGTAAGAAGTTCCAAGCAAGAACACACGCACAAAAATGTCAACCAAAGACAATGAAATAGGCATACATGAGAGGAGGATTTGATGCGGCGAGGAACCATGTTGCCTCCAATCTGAACTAGCCCATCAGAAGTGAAAAGTGTAATCCTTTCTTCAGGAACCCATTCAATGTCTGTAAAACAATACAAAATTTGCAATTCCCATAGATCACAATTCAGCATAGCACATGATTCAAAAAATGTGAAATAGACTCAAAAAACCATTAAATTACATAATTCAAGAATGATCAACAAGCATCATAACATGAATCAGATCACCCTGAATTTGATTAGATCACCCTGAATTTGATTAGATCATGCCATCGATTTTTTCGAAATCATATGAGACAATAGAAGTGAAATTGATTACCGTTGTTGGAATCGGACCATGGGAAGAAGCTGAAAGCATCGTCATCGGAGAAGCTGCCGTAATGCGAAGCCTTCACGGCGAATCGAGATGGCCGAACGCGGGAAAGAAGAGATGAGAAACGAGCGGGGGAGGGATGACGAGAGTGACGAACAGGGGAGATGGTGAGGTGAGAGGAGAAAGTGTAGAAGAGAAGCGTAGAGGTCTCCGCCATAGCCACAACAAGTACAGAGAACAGAACCACAGAAACAGAGAGACGTGACGTGAGGCGGTGGAGGAAGAAGAAGAAGAAGGGAAAGAAGAAAAAAAAAAAAAAAAAAAAACATGTCTTTTTAACGTCAATGCTATGCTACCACGTCCACCTCTTGTTTTAATTTTTATTTTTATTTTTTAATTTTTAAAACCAAACTAAGCAAACCAACAATACTGGTTTAATGTCTTAATGTAGGATAATTATGTTTTATAACATCAAAGGAGATAAAATAATGTTTTAATTTCTCATTTTTCTCCTTTTTGCAATTGCTGCTTCATCTTCGTAATGCTTACTAAGTAAAGTAAATTTGGAAAATGTCTTCTTTTTAAGTTTTAGTTTGAAAACTACCCCTCTTATTTTTCTTTTTGTTAAAATACTTTTTAATCTGTTAAATGACTTAATTCACCAAACTAAAAATATTTAATAAAAAAATACTTTTAAAGGTGCAGAACTCTTCTCATCTATATAGCCTACGCTTGTCATATATCTTAGTAAGTCTAGTGAAATGCAATTGCTGTCCTAGATAAGGCTTTGAAATGTCTCAGTTCCCGTAGAAAAACCTGTTACAGGTGTGAAGTTTGGTTTGCTGATGTAACACGGGAGCACATGTTCCAAGGAAAAATCTCCTAGTTTTATTTGGGCTTTGGTTTCGTTTTCTACCCGATTTCTTGGACTAAAAGATTTAGAAGAAATGGTAGTAACATAGTAAAAAGTCAATTTGATTCAGCTTTGGTTTTGGTTTGTATTGAATGCAAAGGAAATCGAGAAGATGTGTAGTATTTTGACAATCTCAACTTGTAGAGCTACAGATCAGATGCCAGAAATGACTTGTAAATAGGCATAAACATAACAAAATATCTTTCACCCGCGCACAAGAAGTCAGATCAAGTAGCCTAACTCTTTACATATAATCTTTGTAACTACAGCCTTTCAACTTACTTTGGTTTAGCGTGTCCATCTTATGAAGAGATACAAAATGACAATTGTTGCTATCATACCAGTGTATTTGATCCAGGTATCAACACGATTGCGCCTCTCAATGAGCCTCAGTACCGAGTTGGAGAGCCCTACGGTGTTCAGAACATCCAACGCTTTGCGTTGTGCCCCCTGACAGATCCAAAAACCCAATGTGAGAAAAACTTAATGGCATCAAAAATCATATGTTTTTCTTATTGACTTGTGGCATATATAACAGAGATTAAGATTCCGCTACAATTACCTTTAAACGATCCCTTTGTTCAGCATATTTAGAGAGGATAGCAACTCCACTTTGAAACGATTCTTCAAGCATTCTCTTTGAATTCTTAACAGAGTTCATAGCTTGAGCTTCCTCATCAAATATTTGCAAAATGTGAGCTCCTTCTCCGCTCGTTCTGCCTAACAAATCCGCTCTCTCTTTAGCTTCCAACATCTTTCTCTGATTCCTCGACATGTATTTTTCCAGGCTTTGATTCAAATACTCAGCCTCTTCTCCAACTTGTTCGGTCTTTCTGCAACAAAACTCCCCAAATTTCACTTCTGATTCTAACACAAAGTGTACACAAGAACTGGACTAAATCACCCATTCACCCTAAACTTATGAGATTCAGAAACCAGTAGAAAGCAAGAAGCACCTAATATGCTAGTGACTTCAACACAGAGTATACAAGAAACTCTGTGTAATATGTAATATGTAATTCAGAGATTTTGATGATCACTTGGCAGATGAATTCAGATAAGAGAGGAATGAAATTGAGAACCTTCTCCAGAGATCACGCTGAGATTTAACAGGGATAGAGCGCCAGAGAGCATCCATGTTGGAGCAGAGAGATCGGACCTCAGTAATGTCTCGTTTAACGGAGGAGGCCAAATCGGGAGAATCCATAGAAGATGACTCGAACCTCTCCAACCTCTCGATTCCGTCGCGAGCCTTGAGTAGAATCCTTTTCGCACTACTATATACCTCCGACAACGATCCGCCTCCTCCGACGCTACCAGACGCCATTGTACCAACCACTCAGATCAATCAGGACCTTCTCCGTACCTGCATCAGAGATTGATTACTCGTATAAAATGAGTAATATAACAAAAAAAATTGTGGAGAACAAAAACAATGAACAGATCGAAATTCAATAATCACCTCAGGGAAAGAAAGACGACGGGAAGCTTGTGACGCCGTCGCGTAAATTGCCGCCGGAGCAAATCGCAATCGGAGATGTCACGAGGAAAACGAGCTTTTTGATCGGAGGGTAGGACAAAAACCAATAAAAAGCGCTAAAATGTTTTATTAGGCCCATATCCATTAGCTAGTGGGCCTAACTATTATTTTTTTTGTTTCGCCCCCCAACTTACGATTGTATTAAGGATCAAAGGACAAACAAAATATAATACAGTCCTATGAATTGGATCTATATACTTAATTCTGTAATACAATATATAACCTTGGTGAAAGTTATGTGAAGATGATGTGGAATCCAACACCACTAACTTTTTCGTTTTAGTCTAAAACAATGTGTTCCATTTTTTCGCATATTTAGTTAGTGGAAGGTAAAAGATTAATCTTATTAATTTTGTGTACCAATAAGGGGACAAACGCGAAGATGACTATTCTCTATAAGCTCAACAAATATTTTTGATATAGACTAAACTTTCGTGCATCATGCCGGTGTATTAATATATAAAACCTACTACTATTCAGATATATTTAAAAATGTTACGTTCTTATTAGTGTAATACTGTGAAATGTCATTATCATTTGACGAAAAAATGAGACCCCTAGGTCACTTTTATTACCAACTCCTCTTGGTTTGAAAAAAACAAAACCACACTCATCGTTAGTAATACAAACTCGTTGTAATAGCAAAAGTTTCAAAGTGTCGCGTTGAAATAACAACCTTTAAAAAGGCCAATATGATATAGTGTTTTTTTTTTTTTTTTTTTTTTTGTCGTCAGATATAGTGTTTATCTCTTTCGACAAATATCGTGTGTACATTTACTATCCGAACAAAGCATGCATTGCACATTGTAGATATTGGAATCTACAATAAATTAGGTCTAATCTTATGAAACTAAATACAATGTTATGGATTATGGATATATATCCATAACTAATCAAGTAAATCATATTAGAGCTAGCGGTTATTTTAGTTGATAATGAAGTGTATTGCGATTATATATCTTAGTTCGCTAATCTCTAGTGTTGTTCTTGTGTACACTTTATATACGTGAAATATAAGAGATAGAGAAGTTTCAATGATTCACGTGTACACTCTTGTTTCCATGAAAGATAGGTGATAAACTTTAGAAATTTCAATGATTCTTTTTTATGTAAAATCTCAATTGTCACTAGTTAGGTACAAGGTAGTTTCACAAGAATAGTAAGATTGGGAACTTTGTGGTCCAATATGTTTCATGTTATTGAGTGGACTTTCCCCCTAATTCATTTTTTGTACTTTTTTCTTCTTATTTTTTTAAAAAAATTTTAGAAACGAAATTATCTCGAAAATTCACATGCAGTTAAATGTGTACTATAATTGATATACAATAGAGAAAAAGAATTATTATCAAATATAACTTAGAAGAAAAAGACGATTATTGTTCTATGTTAATTAAACTAATGTTGAGTAATTCATACATATAACTAGTCTAAGCATCATGTTCTCTCCAATCTTCTGATCAAGGGTAACATAAATTTTAGAAATTTGGATAAAAAACATTTGATTATTATGTTAATACATTTGTTTTTAAGCCACAAAATTGTGCAGTTTTAAATAAAATTTATAGAAGTAAACAGATTTATTTTATAAGCTTTATATATACTTGCAGTTTTAAATGAATAAAAGTAAAATGTTTTCTTTTATAAGCTTTATGTATACTTAAAACGAAAACCTAAGTTCTCTTTGATTTTTGTTCATTGTATCTTTCCTATGACTTATATGTCACAAAAACGCCGCAGTCCCACCACATATCACAATCACAAAAGTCATATTCACATGCATGTGCGGGTCGATATTTCACATACAGTCAAATTTATATATTCTCACAAATCCAGATAGAACAATATATTCTTCAAAATCAGCTTAGCAAAACTACACTTGCTTTCACCTATTATATACAATCCAATTACTTCGAGCTAGCCGAACATGTACAAGTGAATATCATATCGCGAAAGGATCTGAAAACTTTCGAGAAGGATACATAAGTGAAATTACGCAAATCTAATGTTTTTAAAGTTTCGTTACGTATAAGTGAAATTTTGTGTGGAAGCGATTTAAAACAATCTTGAACAATAAACATGCATATTATTAAGGTGATTTTTTTTTTTTTGGGCAAATATTAAGGTGAATTTTTTATATATTGTATTGAAAAGATAAAAAAATCGTCTTCGGATAAGTTCGACCAATCAATCAGTAAAGGAAACAGGTTGAGATATGGACATATACTAATGTCCTCACCGGAAACAATAAGGTCGTTTCATACACTTTCTAGGCACTTGCTACTTGCTAGATGTCACGGAGACGTGAATGAGATGGACCCTTGAAGCTCTAGCTACTACCATAATTCATTTTTCTTTTTCTTTATAGGTTCAATAATAACTTAGAGTATAAAAAGTACAAAGATGATAGAACAAAAAAGAAGTTGCGAAAATAAAATGGTAATGGAATAGGTTTAGTGCACACATGTTCTCACATTTGCCAAATGGCCAACCTTTGTTTCTCTACCTCACCGTATTTATTTCACCGTATCAAACCTTTTTCATTGCATATATGGATTGACATTTATATAGGTAGGATGTATATTCGTATTGGTTACATTGTAACACAAATTACCAGTGATTTAAAATGAGATAATTACTAATTGACTCTCTAAAATATGGGAGGATTAATCCTACAAATCCGAACAACCTGTATCATTAGGAAAATTAGTTAAACTTTTGAATGAATAAAAATAGCATTGGCTCATTGAGTAAACTTCGTATTAAAATTTATAAAGGTGTTGGGGGTGCATTTGGAAATAAAGATAGATTTGAGTAGATTTAGCTGAGTGGTCTAATAAGTGGATAAACAATATAACATCAGCAAACAAACAAAAAAATGCCATCTCATGACCGTACGGCCATAACTACAATTAGGGATTTAACATGTCGCAAAAAGAAAAAGATCTAATCAGTGACTTAAATAAATTTCAGTAAAATAATAATAATAGTGTTTCAAATAACTTATATGTATAGTAAATATGAAAATATCAGACATTGAAAAACACAGTGATAACATAAAAATCAGTAAATGTTTTCCAAAACAAAAAAAAAAAACAGTAAATCACTATGATATAAATTAGGGTAATGGCAAGACAGTGGGATGGATAAAATGCTATTTAATTAAATAAGGACTAGACGCTTTAAATATTTATTAACTAGATGATGATAAAAATATTTATTATTTCTAAACTATACATCCAATATATATCTTTGTTTTTTTTTGGTTGTTGAATAACATCGAAACTATAACCTTTTTCATACCAAAATAAAAATAAAACAGTGTTGGCAATCAGTAGATTACTCATTATGTATGGGTAACTAATCCAATATATATTATAGAAACTGACAGATGAGAAATGAGATCATGAAAATATATACAGAAGAATAATATATTGCCATTATTTATATGTTCTTTAAAGGGATTTAAAAAAAAACTGTTTTAGAGGAGATCACATAATAATTCAATTTGAACCAAGGAGGAAAAAGCTGAGAAATAGAATATATATAAACAAAAAAAGGTTAGAAGAAAAGGGATTAAAGAGGAGGATAAAGCAAGTGGTGTGGCACATATGAACAAGCCAAACAACACAAATGAATTTATAACTAACATGCTCACACATGCATCCCCCACCCCCAATATCTGAGTCTAAATAATATTTAATGAGAATTATAAATTAGATTAATTCAAGAAATGTTTCATTTTTTTAAAGAATATTTAACAGCACAAGTTATAAACAAAATTTATATAATTAAGGCGTTCGTTAGCTTATAAATATATATAGAGAGAGAGACGCATGGCTTAAAATTATTAGTATGATGGTACTATTCATATACAACACTAACAGTGGTGAAGGGCACTATTAAAAGAACAATGTACGAACCTGATGAGTAAATTATTAAGATGGAGGAGATTCACGACACCAAAGATTCCTTAACCTTTACAATAATTGAAACAGTCGTGAAGGCACTTGCAGATTTTTCCAGCCCACTCATTTAGCATATAACTGAGATTAGCAGATTAAGACATGTTCAAACAAAAAAGAAAGAATTAGTAGTAAGTAGTAGATTAAACTACGAGCCAATTATACAGAGCAGCTTCATATTTAAAATAATAAAATTTGAGTTGAGTGTTATGGATACCTTTAGAATTTTTACAACAAAAAAAAAAGACTATTACATAAATAAATGAATTTTGGTAATTAAAATGAAATTCAACCTCATTCATTCCACATTGTAAATTTTGAAAAAAAATGGAAATCATAGGGGTTTAATAAGAATTAAACCCATATATATATATAGATGACTTCCATGAAAATGCTGTCGAAATAAAAATGTTCGTTTGTTGTCATATTGCTTTATTTTTTTTTATTCTCAATCATAATTATTAACTTTTGTGAGGATATATTATTATTCCACTAAATCAAAATCTCAGTGCCGTTAGAAATTGTTATTTAAAAGATAATCAAAATCATAGTGTAGATGAGATTCGCCACTTGTGAATATCTTTCACATACACACACACACCCTATAATAGTCATATAGGTTGCTGCTAAGGCGAGGCTGTCTCCATTGTACCATCTCGAAAGTAAATAATGCAATGTCTCAACTGTACCTTCAGCAAAGTCAATAATGCAAATCTAGCTTTTAAATATAAATTATTAACACTAGTATATAGTTATATCTAAAACATATGCAAATATTTGTTAATTCATTGGTTTGTTACTATTATACACCCACGAGAATGAACCAGCGTATGAGGATACATAGAGGAAACTGACCACACTTGTTACAATCACGACAGTGTCTAGAATCTTAGCGTGTGTTAACTTAACTACGATATGACTTGAGAAAATTGAATTACATTCGCGTAGCTTAAAGATTTTTTTCTTTTCTCTTTTTTTGAACTTTCCTCCCTCTAAAAAACAATGTCAAAGGGATAAATGTGTAAACGAGTAAAATCAACGGATGCGACTTTTGATAGTT